TGTTGGCAATGTTGTGTGTTGCATTAATGGGATAGAATGTAACTAGTAGACGAAAATTTTGGCCATATGGGTAATATTTGTGTTTTACTACCAAAAAAAGAAAAATTCTTTTAAGGGGTTTTATCCTGAAAACTGGTGATCTTTGACTCCCTTTTGGATTTTTTGATGTCACTAAAGAATGTTATCTGTACATAGTTTTGCAGCATAAACAACTCCATGGGATATGGCTAGGATATTTCAGCCTTTTCAGTGATGAAAACCACATGCCTGTTTTTGTCCTGCCCTTGCTACTTGCTTGCTGTTCCCTACATCCAAGAACTTGTCTGTATTTGCGCACAGTCAGAGGGATCTTCAGTTCTACCCTATAGCTCCCATTTGAACACAGCAGTGCTGGTGCACAAGTCCAGGTATGTTATCAGTACATGGCTTCAATGGTCAGATTTCACACAGAGCTCTTGCCTACTTTTTTCGAAGTCAAAGGCAGCTGGTGGAATGGGAAGCATCCTGCTGGACCATTGGAGAGAACAAGCTGGGGTGGCATATCCAAAGCTAGGTAGGATTCCTGGGCAACCTCTGCTCTGCGTCAAACATCACCTTTTGAGACCTGAAGGCCTTTTTTCAGGGAAGCCCAGTGCTGAACAGGGTTGACATAGAGGTTCTGTGATGTATACAAATGCTTATATATATAATCTCAAAAATCAAATCATTGCAGTATTTAACATATAGTCTGCCTTGGAGTCTTTCAGGCTGAGATGCAAGGGTCCCGAGATTCGGTTCTCGGAAACTTACCTTCCTATCAGAATGAACCATGCTGAGTACAGATGAGTCAGACTACTAAATCCTTAACTAGTTGAATGGAAGTACTTTGAAAAGGAGGCATGTTTCCTTATCTGTGGTATTAACTACTACAGAGTGAGCTAAAGCTGAAAATGTTCAAATCTAACTCGTTTATGCTATCTTCAAGTTTAGACGTCTTTTATTATAGGCAAGATAGGGGAGTCCCTCTTCCCCACCCCATTTTTTATTTCCGTAAATGTTTTATAGTGACTCTTAAGCCACTAGTTCTATGCTCTAATGCTCATGTAAAAACTTCCTGGAAGAAATGGTACTGAGAGAAGGCACTGTTACAGTGGTGACAGTATCCTCAGCCAATTATATGTTTTTCTTTTGAAGTCATCAGGAATGAGAAGAGAGGCATCAAAGACAGCAAATCCACCTTTTACTCTGAGGTGGTATTTGTCATCCAAACAGTGATCAAGAAGAATGGTTCTTGCTTTTAAAAAATTAAAAAAAAAAAATATAATCATGAAATAGCGTTCAGTATGTTCATTCCTTGGAAGTATCTTTTTTTATAAAGCCAATATTTTTGGCTTTTGCACTGCTACTGTCCTGATTTAATTAGATTATGTTCCTCTTAGTTGTAGTTCAGTCAGTTTTTGATGGGCAGTATTTCAATTTTAAGATGCTATCTATTCTAATATGCCAATAAGGGTAATGCAATACTGTTGTACTTTATAATGGATAAATTGAATGTTTGATTTTTGAAGAGGTGGCTGTAATATAACTGTTTGTATGACTTTTAAAAAGTTTATATTTTCCATTTATTGGTGTGTAGTTTTCCATTTCTTAATCATTATTTATTATGTTTCATCAGACTCTGTAGCTGAATTTCTTATAGACAACTGGCAAAATATAGCATATGTCTATATTAAAAATGGCAAATTTACCCTGTACATTTACACTTTGGAGAACAGTGGACTAATGGAAATGGTTTTTATTTACTTGTTAAAATGTATTTTTTGTAAAAAAATAAAAAAATTAAAAACAATATATAAATCTGAGTTTGCTGGATCAAAACTTGTATGTGATCAAATGCAATGTTTTTGTTTATAAATAAATACTATGCAGAATGCCTAATGTTTCTGCCTTATTTTAAGTGTTTGGTCTTACAAGAAAGCCGGCTCAGTCTGGTTTTGAGCAGAAGACTTGGGCACACCAAGCATGCCCTCAGAGCCCCAGACCAGCTGACTGGCTGTGCTTCTTCAGACGGTCGGTTTTGTACGGGGAATTCTCTTACCCAATGACAAGACTGTTACTGTAAGAGGATTTGGGACAAAACTTTTTCCGGGCCTTGTTAGAGAGCTGTTGTCTTTGGGGTACTAAGGCGGAAGTGACGGGAATGCAAGGGTAGTAGGGAGGTGAGACCACCTACCTCCTTGGGTGTCAGTAAGCTCTTGGATCAGATCGGAGCAGCTCTCCTTCTGAAATGTTACCTGTAGGATAGCTGATCAGTTCCCCAGCAGGAGAGGCTCAAGTTCTTCCAGGTATTTTTGTGGCTGAGGCAGACCGTTCTTCCCTGACCAGTAAGTACTTGATCATCTAATACAGATGACTAATAAAGAGGCGGCAGTGTGCAAGTGTTACCGAAAAAGCCAGCCGGTCAAAGAAACTCTCTAAGGCTCAGTTTTGGAGTCTTAGAAAGCAGGCATTCTTTATTGCAGCGCTGGATGCACGGGGCATAGTTCCTCCTAGCGTGCATACCGTTACCTACAGCAAGCAAAGCTTATATTGTTCTAATATATACATACTCATCACATTTCCCCAAACTGGTGTACATATTCATGTTATTTCCCAGAAATTATTTACATAGTGTCCGCCCTTTTGGGCATGTGCTATTAAATGGGTCGGTGGTCTTTTGGGGGTCTTTGAAACCCTCTGGTGGCCATGTTCTTGGTGTCCGCTAATTGAACTCTCTCTAAGGCACGCGCAGTGCGGGTCATCTCAGGTGGTTCATCTCTTCTTCCCAGTTAGCTGGTCCTGGCAGGTTTTAATCACAAAGCTCAGCAAAACTCAAGGCTTCTTATCTCTTTGTGCATACTGTTAACAAAGCTCAAGGTTTTCTTACATACCGAAAGTTTCAAAGTCGCTCAAGCAAGCATAAATTAAGCGCTACAAAAATACGATGGAGTCCTTGAACTCCAGCCTTTATTTCAAGGCATCACAAGGCCTTGTTGTGGAAAGGGTTGCACCTGGTATGGAAATGTTCTGGGTATGGAAAAAGCAGTGCAGTTAGAATCCAGGGTATGTGTTAACTGAATTTCAAGGAAGTTCCTGGTTTTAACGTATGAGTGTACTTCCATGCTTTCTGCTACGCGAGTGAAATTTGAAATCAAGCGCGAGGACTTGCACTGTCCTGGCTTTGTAAGCCCAGTCCTCCTTGCAATGGAAATCCTCATTGCCCTGTAGAAGTCCTCTTTCTTTTTAAAAAGTCAGTCTAATCTGTAGACAATAACTCTTCATTTGTTCTCTTCTGCTTTCTCACCTGCTGTGTGAGGCAGTGTAATAACCGGTGAGGTCTTCAGAGTACAAGTTTCGGCTTTAACCCCGCGGCCGGTGGTTCTTTTGCCTGTCGCTGTTGGGAAGGCGGCGAGAGCGGCACAGCCATCGGCGTGTGGGAAGAAGGAAAGGTAGATGCCAGTTTCTAAGGGTGCAATTTTTTAATTATTATTGTGAATGGAAAGGTTTGCCTTTGAAAGAAAGGGGAATTTGGGGGATTGGTTGCCCTTTGACGAGTCTAAATGTAAAACCTTCTCCAATACAGTAATGCCTTTTTTTTTTCTTTTGCCGAGTGGGAGGGCGTTGGGCTTTTTTTAGTTTTTGTTTCGTTTTGTCGTTTTTGTGGGTTTTTCTAAGTGGAAGCAAGCTTAGGGCACGCCAAATCCAGAACGCAGGCAAAAACCCCTAGCCAAAACGGCAGCACGGCGGAGCCCTAGGATTTCCCCCAACCACCCGCCGCCCCCCTCTTCGCTTTCGCAGCGGGGGCGGGCAGGGCTGCCAAGTGCTGCGATGGCGGCGCGGGCAGCTCCCCAACCCGCCCGCCTGCAGCAAACCGCCAGCCG